GATTCTAATTGTTATGGGGTATAAATAAAATATTTTAAGACTCACTCAATATATATAAACTCTAATGGCTAACATAGGGGATTTCTATTGTTAACCAACACACTAAGCATGTGTTAGTGTGTTCTAACACTATGTGTGTGCATGTGTGTGAGTGATCAAGGCTTGTACAAATTTCTAAGCAAAGAAAATATAAAATTACATTTTGACAATAAAGTATATCTTCTTCTTTGCTTCATTTTGCCTTGAACTCATCTATGTCTTGAGTATCTCTTTGAATATAATTATTGATATAGCTCTGATACTGCAAAACAAATGTTAGCACATAATATACACAACATATGATATTTGTTATCATCAAAACAAACTAATCTCGGGGTCAAGATTCCTAACAAAATCAGGTTATTCTTGTTCATTTGAAAACAGGCAATTCAGTTTATCTTTTAATTCAAATGTTGTGGGAACCGGTTACTTGAGTACTTATGACAACCTATATTTCCTTGATACAATTGCTTCTTATAATGAATTCTTGCATGTGGAATCACGTGGTACTAAGCGTAAATTAAATAAGGAAAATTCAGCGATATTATGGCATAAGCGCTTGGGTCATATCTCAAAAGGTAGAGTTGAGCGTCTTGTGTCTGATGGCATTTTGGATTTCCTTGATTTTTCGGATTTCGACGTATGTGTTGAATGTATCAAGGAAAAACATACCAAAGTTAAGAGATTAGGTGCCAACAGATCTTCGGATGTCTTAGAATTGATACATACGGATATTTGTGGGTCATTCCCTACGGAATCCTGGAATGGTCAATAATATTTTATATCATTCATAGACGATTACTCACGTTATAGGTACCTATATCTTATTCGTGAAAAATCTGAGTCTCTGGACATGTTCAAAGCCTATAAAGTTGAAGTTAAGAATCAACTCAACAGAAGAATTAAAACCGTTAGATCTGATCGTGGTGGTGAGTACTACGGCAGATATGATGGTTCAAGTGAACAACGTCCAGGACCATTTGCTAAATACCTAGAGGAATGTGGTATCGTCCCACAATACACCATGCCGGGTTCACCTAACATGAATGGTGTAGCTGAAAGACAAAACAGGACTCTTAAAGATATGGTAAGAAGTATGATCTCTCATTCTTCTTTACCATAGTCACTCTGGGGAGAAACACTTAAGACAGCAGCTTACATTCTAAATAGAGTACCAAGTAAAGCAGTTGCTAAAACATCTTATGAGCTTTGGACTAGTCGAAAGCCCAGTTTAAAGCATTTACATATTTAGGGATGTCCAGCTGAGACAATGCCTTATAGGCCAAATAAAAAATAAACTGGACTCCAAAACAGTTAGCAGTTACTTTATTGGGTACTCTGAACGCTCTAGGAGCTATAAGTTTTATGATCCCACACTAAGAAATATTTTTGAGACGGGAATAGCAACATTCTTTAAGGATGTTGAGTTTGGGGGGAGAAATAAGGTTAGAGACATTAGTTTTGAGGAGGAATTGGCTTCAGATCCAATCTATACAGTTACTTTTGACAATATTCAGGTTCTTATACCTGTTGCTTAAGAAGTAAATCTGAAACCTCAAGATGACAATGTTAAACAACTCCTTGTTTTAGAAGAACAAACTCAACAACCTCAAGAACCAGTGTCATTAAGGAGATCCACGAGAGAAAGGAGAAATGATATTTCGGATGATTATATTATATTTCTTCAAGAACATGAGGAAAGTAGTGGAATGTTGAAAGATGATCCTATCAACTTCTCTCAGGCCATGAAAAGTTCTAACTCTTAACAGTGGATTGATGCCATAAATGAAGAGTACAAGTCTATGCAAGACAATAAGGTTTGGAAACTTGTCCCATTGCCAGAAGATGCAAAACCAATTGGTTGTAAATGGATTTTTAAAACCAAGCGGGATGCAAATGGTAATGTGGAGAGGTATAAGACACGTCTTGTGGCTAAAGGCTATACTCAAAAGGAAGGCATTGATTATACAGAGACTTTCTCTCCAGTTTCATCGAAAGACTCTTTCAGAACAATCATGGCACTTGTTGTTCATTATGATCTTGAGTTACATCAGATGGATGTTAAGACTGTATTTCTCAATGGAGACATTGATGAGATGATTTATATGGTGCAACCAGAAAACTATGTCAGGAGACCTAAAGAATATGGTCTGCAAATTAAGAAAATCCATCTATGGACTCAAGCAAACTCCTCGTAAATGGTATCATAAGTTTTAACAAATAATTATCTCGTTCGGTTTTGAGATGAACATTGTTGATGACTGTGTATATCACAAGTTCAGTGGGAGTAAGTATATCTTTCTGGTTCTGTATGTCGATAACATATTGCTTGCCACTAATGATATAGGCATGCTGTACGAAACCAAAAAATTTCTATCAAAGAATTTTGAGATGAAAGATCTTGGGGACGCATCTTTTATATTATGAATCCAGATACATCGAGATCGCTCTCGGGGTATTCTTGGATTATCACAAAAGAGCTATATCGATAAGGTACTTAAAAGGTTTGACATGCAAGACTACAGACCAGGAGACACCCATGTGGCTAAAGGAGACAAATTTAGTCTCAATCAGTGCCCTAAAGGTAATCTTAAAATTCAGGAAATGCAGAAGATTCCTTATGCTTCGGCTGTAGGAAGTCTAATGTATGCTCAGGTATGTACGCGTCCGGATATTGCGTACATTGTTGGGATGTTAGGCAAATACTTAAGCAACCCTGGTATGGATCATTAGATAGCAGTCAAAAGGGTTATGAGGTATTTTCAGAAAATAAAAGATTATATGCTCACATACAGAAAATCAGAACACCTGGAGGTCATTGGGTACTCTGATTCTGATTTTGCTGGATGCCAAGATAGCAGAAAGTCTACATCAGGCTACATTTATATGTTAGTAGGAGGAGCTATATCAGAGAAAAGTGTTAAACAGACACTCATAGCTTCCTCCACTATGGCAGCAGAATTTGTAGCTTGCTATGAGGCATCCAATCAGGGAATATGGCTGTGAAATTTTGTCACGGGACTGCGCATTTTGAAAAATATGAAAAGACCACTAAGGTTATATTGTGACAATAAATCTGCAGTAATGTATTCCAATAACAACAGGAACTCAACTAAGTCAAAACATATTGACATTAAGTTCCTAGTTGTGAAAGAAATGGTACAGAGTGGACGGATATCCATAGAGCATATTGGGACAAACTCCATGATAGTTGATCCTCTTACTAAGAGATTGCCACCTAAGGTCTTTCATGAGCACACTGCTCATATGGGTGTGGTGTTATTTGAGGATATCATGATTTAGTGGGAGTTTGTAATTTTTGGGCTTTATGTTTGGTTGTATTGTCTGATCAGAATAAAGTATTCAGTTAAGACACTCTGTTACATTATGTTTGGTTTTAACCTTACTAAATGAGGACCAGTTGAAAATAGACATGTACTGATCACATTGCATGTAATTTTCATGCTGCATATCCATGATTGATCTATGTCGTTTGATTGTGTTGGTATATGTGACCATTGATGGGTCGAGTCACGATAAATGTGACGAAGGCCGCTTTGATCCTATATTGATATAGTCAATGGACGAGATTGTTCGGAAATACCTTTTCAGTGATAGCAATTTTGAGCTCATAAGGTTATACACAAAATTAAATCTCTTTGTGGGCACATATGATTAATCTGTGTATATTGCTATCCTTCAGGATAACCCACTAAAGTGATCAATCAATTTGGGTTAATGAGTATTTAAATATAATTATGGGGTTATATGTGCAGATACCAGGTTGTAATTATGATTTGATAAGGGACCAAATTGTAAATGTACAACATCTATAAATAAGGAGTTATGGTCCCTAATCTAGGGTTATAATCTCTAATTCTCTTCACCCCCATCTAGAGAGAAATTTGGCTAGAGAAACCCTAAGGTTAGAAGATCCAAACCCCCATCTAGAGAGAAATTTGGCTAGAGAAACCCTAAGGTTAGAAGATCCAAAACCTATCTCAAGTTTAATCTATGGATTCAGGTATAGTGGCTAGAGAAACCCTAAGGTTAGAAGATCCAAAACCTATCTCAAGTTTAATCTATGGATTCAGGTATAGCTTCCGCTCTTTTCTTTTGATTCTTGTAAATCTCTTTGAATTAATCATGGCTTTTTGGTTTAGATCTCAAGTTTTTATAAGATCTAACAAGATGGTTGCCAAATAGGCTATGGTTTCATTTTTGTAGTGTACCTTCCAAATTCCACCATACCCTGGCTTTAAAATTGAAACCTGATTACCAAATTAGCTTTAAGTAATATAAAACTGAAAAGAAGTGTTTATTATGTTCCTTCCTAATTGAAAAACCTTTTTTACCCTGTTTTAAGTTTTGTATCAAATGAAAAATGAATTAGATTGCACAGCACTTCATTGGCTTAGGCACATTACTTAGATGAGTACATAAATGCTACATGCCTCACATGCGGTATAATGGCATCGATGCCACTCTGACATGCTTAATAATGATTTCATTTTATATATGACCACTTTAAAATATATCCATAGAGAAGTCAAGTGGATCAACCTTTTGACTGTGATGGCTTGCCAGCTCTGTAGGGGCTACAAGTAATACCTAGTGATCCCAAGTCCTGACATGATACTAAAAAAGAAAACAATATAAATATATAAGTAAAATCAAGTTGCATAATCTAACATGTCAACAAATATTGGAATGAATTTCATGAAATGCCAAATCATTGACATCCTATATGTTCAAAAGACGAAGCATTTTTTAAAGAAGTGAAACTTGTTATATAATTTAGAATCTGGCAATTCCTAATAACCTGTACAGGTTCTCTTCATTTTACACTTCTCATATTGCTCTACTACTTATTAAATTTTGCATGCCCACATTATGTACTCATCTTGTTCTGGTCGACATCTTATATTCATAATGCTGAACTGTATTTTAAATATTTGCAGCTGCTGTTACTTCCCAGACAAGTCAACCACATTAGATGATGCTGAGAATGCAATGTTGGAGCTGTATTGTGAGAGAGCACAAGTAAAAGATGGACAATCAATCCTTGATGTGGGGTGTGGCTGGGGTTCCCTTAGTGTATACATGGCACAAAAATACAAAAATTGCAGCATTACAGGGATATGCAATTCAACAACACAAAAAGCTTTTATAGAGGAGCAATGCAGGTAATAGAGAGATCAGGGGGTATAGCACGTGTATGCAGGCTAAAGATTTGATTTCACTGATTGGTTATGTATTTGATTGATTAATTTTATGTGAACATGACTTAGGTATGGGGACAGAGAATTTTTGGTCTCTTTAAGTTTATCCTTTTAAGAATCAGGACCTTAATCTTATTTATTAGACCAATGCTTATTTACTTACTGATGTCTAAACATTTAATATTTAAAGAATGTGACATTATCATCTTTATTTAAACATTTTATACTATTACTTAGGTTTAGGAAGTCGTGCTGTGAATATTACCTGAAGTTGGCCATATATAATCTTTCAAAGCAATGGCTATTTTACCATTATGTTAAATTGATTAAACTTTTCTTGCATTCAAATCATATTAGTTGCCTTTTTTATTTAACACTAACACAAATTGAATTTTTGAAGCTAATCATGTTAATATCGTACCACAGGGATCTTCAACTATCAAATGTAAAAATCATTGTAGCAGATATCAGTAAGTTCGAAATGGAGGCTTCATTTGACCGAATTATATCTATAGAGATGTTTGAGGTGTGTAATTTTTGCTACTTCTTATTAGTTTTATATAAAGCTCAGGTCTCTAACCCTATCATATTATTCAGCACATGAAGAACTATAAGGTACTTCTCAAGAAGATATCCATGTGGATGAAGCAGGATAGTCTCCTATTCGTTCATTACTTCTGCCACAAAGTATTTGCCTACCATTTTGAGGTACCTTTTTTCTCACTTTTTCTGTATAAAAGGTGCACTAATTTTGCTTCTTTTTTATGGAATAAGTTTTCGCAATGACTACATAAAAACTGATTACAAATGTTCTTATGGAGAAATATTTCGTCTATAATTCTTCTTCAATACCGGTAGAAGAAGTATCCATTTCTTCTGACATCTCAGTTCTATTTAAAATTCTAAGTATGGCATGTACTTTCTAATACCATATCCATTTTATGACATCAAGGATTTGCTTCTCATGAATTATGTTTCTTAATGTTTCTTTGGCTATCTCATATCTAGGATATAAACGATGATGACTGGATTACTAGATACTTCTTCAGTGGAGGAACAATGCCTTCTGCAAACCTACTGCTCTATTTCCAGGTGATTTGAGACTATATTGGACTTCAGAAAAAAAAAATCATTTTGGATCTGATCTTTTATAGATTTGCTAATGAGAATAAACAAATTTTTTCTCCTCTGAGTTTCGACTTATTTTCAATGAGCTTCATCACTGCCCAGATCTATTAGCATGCTAGACTCTTAATCTAAATGTCTGCAAACCACCAACTAGCATTGTCACAAACTAATGTTTCATACATGCAAGTGTAACATATGATGGACATAATTTGAATGGCTTGATGGTCTCCGTAATTTAATTTACTGAAGTTTTATACAATTCTGCAGAATGATGTTTCTGTGGTCAACCACTGGCTTGTTAATGGGATGCATTACTCCAGGACAAGGTATGCAAATCTGAGCTTTTAGTAACAGCAGGCTTTCAATTTTTCATTGTAGTGGTGCAAAGTTCGTTGGAGATACTGAACATACACAATTAATTCGAAAGGAAGTTTAGGCATTTCAAGACATCAATGACCATCTTATGTCAAATATAAGTCGTGTATATACAAAAAAATTCTTATATCATGTCAGATTTAATAAAACAATCGGATATGTTTATTTGTGGATAGATTCCCTGTACTATCGCCCAAGTGTAGGTAGACCTCCTGCTGTTCTATTGTTTCAGATAGACCCCTTGAGTGAAATCTTTTTGACAATTTTACCCTCAATGAAAAGAAAATCATTTTTTGGGAAATCGACTTCCTGAAGTTAAAAGACCCAAAAAAAAACACTCGAGGATTCTATATGCAGTTAGGGGATATTACAGTGGGGCAATCTGCAATTAACCCTTCTTGTAATGATAATACTATTGTTAGCTCCGAATTGATTTGAGGTGCGAAATTATTTCATGCAGTGAAGAGTGGCTCAAAAGAATGGATCAAAATGCAGCTTCAATTCGACCAATCATGGAATCAACTTATGGAAAGGATTCAGCAACCAAATGGACTGCTTACTGGAGAACATTCTTCATTTCGGTTGCAGAGCTCTTCGGATATAGCAATGGTGAAGAATGGATGGTTGCACATTTTCTTTTCAAAAAGAATTAGTCAATGAACAAATTATCAAAGGAAAATTGATAAAGACCAATCCTGCAATATTAGTGTTTTTGTAATCTGAGATTAGAACTGGGGCCTGCCTGATTCTGTAATTTGTTGTCGGGAGTAATGAAATGGTATTCAATGCTAGA